TTGTTTTAAGATCCAAGGGGGTTTGGATCTGTATTCACCAGGAGTTGGTGAAAGGAAGGAGGGGGGAAGGGTCAATTTCTCCTTGTTTATGATCCAAGGAGTTTGGATCTGTATTCACCAGGGAATTGGTGAAAGGTTTCTAAAAGCTTCCCAGGGAGGGAATGGTGGCAGCGAACCAGAACTAAGCTGGTAGTTAAGCTTAGAAGTCCTCATGCAGGCCCCTACATTTGTACCCTAAAGTTCAAAGTGGGGATACAGCCTTGACAGCATGTCTGACAGCTGTCTTAGAAGAAATAATGCAAAAACTCATTAGGATTATATAGTTAGCTCCTCTCCGGCTTCCAACCATCCGCAGCTGGCTCTGTCCAGTATGCTCCAAATTCAAGCACTAAAATTATCTTCCTCACTTGTCAGCCTGACCCCCTCAATGCACACTTTCATACCTCTCTAAATGTCCTTCTTGCATCAACTTCAAACACCTTCTGCATCTGGAACAACTCCACCCAGCCAATTCTTAGCAGAGGTTTAGGGTTATAACGGGTGATATTCCCATGTGGCGAGGGATTATAATGGTACAAGGACACGAACAGAAATGCCTCTTCAGACAACACTACCAAACCTGAAGTCACTAGATTTTCCACAGGTACAATCAGATAAGGGTTAGGGACATTTCCTACTCAGGCTCAAATGACAATGAGTTTGAGGTTTGAGCCACCTCATGCTGACTTTGCCATTTGGACCCACTAGGATAAGTCCACGTACCACTGAAAAGCCTAAAATATACTGGTTCTTGTAGACCTCCCATGAGAAGCAAACCAACACCCCATTAGTATTCTATAATTATCACCTCCATGACACCTAACTCACACACCCTCCAGCCAGTCAAAAAAATCAGTCATCCTCCCCATCCACCTAATTAGTTCAGCATAAAAACATAAGAACAGCCATACTGGATCAAACCATCTAGGACAGTATTCTGTCTTCCGACAGTGGCCAATGCCAGGTGCCCCAGAGGGAATGAACAGAACTGGTAATCATAGAATCATAGAAAATCAGGGTTGGAAGGGACCTCAGGAGATCATCTACTCCAACCCCCTGCTCAAAACAGGACCAATCCCCAACTAAATCATCCCAGACAGGGCTTTGTCAAGCCTGACCTTAAAAACCTCTAAGGAAGGAGATTCCACCATCTCCCTAGGTAACCCATTCCAGTGCTTCACCACCTTCCTAGTGAAAATGTTTTTCCTAATATCCAAACTAAACCTCCCCCACTGCAACTTAAGACCATTACTCCTTGTTCTGTCATCTGCTACCACTGAGAACAGTCTAGGTCCATCCTCTTTGGAACCCCCTTACAGGCAGTTGAAAGCAGCTATCAAATCCCCCCCTCCCCATTCTTCTCTTCTGCAGACTAAATAAACCCAGTTCCCTCAACCTCTCCTCAGTCATGTTCCCCAGCCCCCTAATCATTTTTGTTGCCCTCTGCTGGACTCTTCCCAGTTTTTCCACATCTTTCCTGTAGTGTGGGGCCCAGAACTGGACACAGTACTCCAGATGAGGCCTCACCAATGCCAAATAGACGGGAATGATCATGTCCCTTGATCTGCTGGCAAAGCTCCTACTTATACAGCCCAAAATGCTCTTAGTCTTCTTGGCAACAAGGGCACACCGTTGACTCATATCCAGCTTCTCGTCCACTGTAATCCCTAGGTTCTTTTCTGCAGAACTGCTGCCTAGCCACTCGGACCCTAGTCTGTATCAGTGCATATGATTCTTCCATCCTAAGTGCAGGGCTCTGCACTTGTCCTTGTTGAATCTCATCAGATTTCTTTTGGACCAATCCTCTAATTTGTCTAGGTCCCTCTGTATCCTATTCCTACCCTCCAGCGTATCTACCACTCCTCCCAGTTTAGTGTCATCTGAAAACTTGCTCAGAGTGCAATCCATGCCATTTTCTAGATCATTAATGAAGATATTGAACAAAACTAGCCCCAGGACCGACCCTTGGGGCACTCCGCTTGATACTGGCTGCCAACTAGACACGGAGCCATTGATCACTACTCGTTGAGCCCGACAATCTAGCCTGCTTTCTATCTACCTTATAGTCCATTCATCCAGCCCATACTTATTTAACTTGCTGACAAGAATACTGTGGGAGATGGTATCAAAAGCTTTGCTAAAGTCAAGGAATAACACATCCACTGCTTTTACTCGTAATGATATAACAAGATCCAATGCATGTACTTGTACTTGTAATGATATCACAAGATCCAATGGCCAGACATAGAATGGCCAGACTGGAAATAATGTGTAATTTTTTTAACTTTGAGAATAATTTTCCACTGGAAAACCTTACCAAAGTTCATGGTAAATTCTCCATCACAGGCAATTTTTACATCCAAATTGGGTATTTTTACTAAAAGCAACTGCTCTATGAATTATTTTGGGACAGTTCTCTGGCCTGTGTTATACAGCAGGTTGGGCTAGATGGTCACACTGGTCCCTTCTGGCCTTGGAATCTGTGACTCTCTTGTGGATAATAATTTCTGCCTTTTTAGGTTTAGATTATATCTCATTGAAAGTGGTTTAAGGTAATGCAAGAAAGCCACTCTTATGCCAGAACAAGAGCGTCCACATGAGGGTTATTCTGGTATAACTATACTTGGATAACTGGTAAAATTTCCCATGTAGAGAAGTCACATATTTGCTTTCAGGGTGATTTTGTTCTGGGCAAGCATTTATCAAAAAGATACTATGTGTGTTAACATTCATTAGAAAGGGGGAATGAGACCCATGAAACTCACATATATCATTAATGCAAATGGCTTGATTTAGCTCTGACTTGGTCTACACTTATAAGGCATATGTGAGTTAGTCACAGGAGTGAAAAAAACACACACATCGCTATGACAACCCCTCTTCCCCCAACTCAGTGTAGACGCAGCTATGAAGATGGAAGAGTACTTCTGTCAACGTAGCTAATGTTGTTGGGGGAAGTAGTGATAATATACTGGCCAGTGGTGAAAGTAACTTACAGGACTTACCGGTACTGCCGGAGTCCTGAGGAGGGCATGGCCTCATCTGGAAGAGGCGTGGCCTCATCTGGAAGAGGCGGGGCCTCTCAAGATTTAAAGGCCCTGGGGCACCGGCTCTGGCTGGGAGCCCCAGGGCCTTTAAATCACCCCGGGGCTCCCAGCTGCAGAGGTGGCTGGGGGCCCCCGGGGCTCAGGGGCAAATTAAAGGGTCCGGGGCTCCGGCCGCTGCGGAGCCCCAAGCCCTTTAAATCCCCGCCGCCGAAGCCAGTGCGGTCCGGCACGGCGTACTGGCTTTTGCCGGTACGCCATACCGGACCAGACCGGACCGGACTGGCTTACTTTCACTTCTGATACTGGCAGAAGAACTGTTGCTGTTTGCCGCATCTATGATAGGGGGGCTGTAGCAGAGCCATAGCTGCTCATAGTGGTGCAGATCAGAACTAGCTCCTTTCATATCAGTGGAGTCATGGCAGGATAAACCCAATGTGAGTTATAAGAAAAATTGGACCATGGTTCCAGAAATAGAATGACTCACCTGCTCCACCTACTGCATACTCATGTTTTCCTCTCAGTCCTCCAGAAATTATTTGGAGAACAAGCTCTGAAAACAGAAAAGAAAACACGCACATTATGAGTCATTTCACATAGTTAAGGACACTAACCATATCATCTAGGACTGTGGGTTTTAACCTGTGGACCCCTAGGGATCCGCAGACCATGTCTAAGGGGTCCGCAAAAGGTTGTCATTACCATAAAATAGTGGTTTTCAACCTATGGTCTGTGGACCCCTTGGGGACTGCAGATTATGTCTAAGATTTCCAAAGCTCCTCTATTTGAAAATTTTTAGATCTCTGCAGATTCAAAAAAAAAAAAAAGGATTGATAACCACTGAGCTAGGAGATCAAAATTCAGTTACAAGGCATTGAAGATCTGTCACCCAGGGTTTTTAAAAGGAGTCATATTTTTTTCTTTAAGGTTTGAGGTTTTCTTAACTCTAGACATCAGGGACATGGTTTTGATCTGATCTGCATTAGTGTAACTCAGAAGGATAGTGGATAAGGAACAGAACTTCTAGCCTGTGGGAAACTTTGGACATTCTGAAATTTGTTTTCATCTCAAATTGATTCAAAAAGTAAAAACTTCAAAATATCTTGGAGGATTGCAATTGTGAAATATTTCAATTCAGAATTATCAAAATGACCGTACTAAATGATTCCTTTGAACAATAGCGAAGCATTATAAGGTAACAAAAATATTACCTATAAATATATAATATAAAATATAAGTTAATATATATTTTAGCTAGCTAGTTAAAAAATAAATAAAAATTGAAACCAAATGAAATAATAAAATTAACACAAAACGATAAAGTCAAAACAAAATACTCCATTTTGATTTTGTAGCATTTTGAAAATTTTCCATCAAAAATCAGAATCGACACATTCCCACAAAACTTTTGATTATCACAAAGCAGGATTTTCTGGTGGAAAACGGTTTAGTCAAAATGTTTGAACTGGCTCTATTCAAAAGTAACTCTGCTGTTTTCACTGGAATTATTCCTGATTCATGGTACTGTAAATGAAGACACAATTTGTCACTGTGGAGTTACGCCAGTGTAAAATCAGCCTGAAACCAGAATCAAACCTTAGATTTTATCATTATCTAGGTTTTATAATCTGATCATTATTTAAAAAAAAAACACCACCACAAATATTAAGGCCAATCTTGAGCATTTGCTTCCCTTTAAAATCATCAGTAACTAATCAGCTAGTTTCGGATTTCCCTGACACCTCTGTACAGTGGGCCTGATGTCACTTATGCTGGTATGAAGTAAGGGGAATTCCACTGATTGCTAATCATTTGCTCCTGATTTATGCAGGTGTAAGTGAGGCCAGAATTTGCCCAAGTGTAGATAGTTCCAAAATCAGAATGAAGTTCAAGATCAGGATTTCATCTCAACTGAGAATTTCAAAGCCACCTAAAGGAACTGAATTTCATTGTTCATTGCACTCGTAGAATTTGAGATGAGAAGGCCATTACATTTCACACAGATATCACTGGTGGAACCCAGTGACCTCATTTAAACTGAGGCAGTGCTGAACTGTTGTGTGCCACAGCCCGAGAACAGGAGATACTGAGGTGCACATGAGGCAGAGGTCCTGCAATAGCAGGGAATGATTAGGTGAGACATGCCTATATAATCTCAGCAGGTGACCTGCACACAATGCTGCTAAGAAAGGTGAATAAATCCCCATAGTTCCTGCCAATGTGACCTGGGGGAAAATTCCTTCCTGATCCCAAATCTGTTGGACCTGTAGCATGACTCACCAACCAAGCATCTAGAAACAGAATTCTCAGTACCACCTCAGAGCATCAGCCTACCCCAGCTGCTGTCCCATCTCTAGAGGTGGCTGATTTTGGATGCTTCAAAGGAAGGCTAATAATAATTAAGAAACAGCTTACAAATGTGCACCAGGGAACAAATTCCTTCCTGATTCCTCCAGGTGACTGAAGCATGAGATTAGATTATGCCCAACTCTTCTTCTTAAAATTTGTGGAAATTAGGCTCCAAACACCCAAGTCAGCTTTGAAAATCTCATCTTTAGATATAATAATCTGGAAATTATCTGGAATGCTGAAGATTTTGAAAGGCAAAAAATGAGAGTTAGGTGCTCTGTCTCCCTTTGGCACCCTTGAAAATCCAACCCATCCACAACTGGCAGACACCCATGGGCTGCTTTAGGCTACTGCTACTAATACTAAGATTGTTGGACACATGACAGTATCACTGTGATAAACAGTAGGGCATTGGGATCATTGCTACAGAATGGTGCAGTAGCTCCTCCAATGGGGACCTGTGCTGATTCCACTGATGACCTGTCCATAACTTCAATATGCAGAAATGTCAGTACCTTTTAAATATTTCATGTTTTCCTCTATGCATCCAAAGACACTTCCCCATAAACCTGAAAACAAGAAGGAAAATACCTTATTTACAATGGCACAAGTAAGAGTTCATTAAGCCCTTTCCCTTTAATACTACATAAAGAGTTGCCTGGATAAAAGCCACACTGGTAGAAAAGTCAAGGGGGCACTGGCAGGCCAGTTTCTGATGGGTTATGTGCTTTTGCAATTTGATTCACACATTCATCCATAACTGAAAAAACGTATTGTAAGTTGAGGCGGTCAACAAATTTCCAATGTAATATTTTTGCATCAGAAAATACTCTTTTGTCAAAATTTAAACTTTCCATGGGAACTTGTTGATTTTGACAAAATTTCATTTGAAAAATAAATGTGAAAGGAAACATGTTGACCTATTGGAACAGAATCTTTCAATTTTTTCATTTTGAAATTACCTTTCATTCCCAAATTTATTGGCTTTTATAATTCAGTGTAAATGAAACTATTACAGAAATAGGAAGGCAATGTTTCAATTTTATAAAAACAGAACATTTCAATTGACCCAAAATGGAAATCATTTTGTGGGAAAGGTCAGAATTTTGTGATTTAGTCCTGATTTGGAATATAAACAAATTTCCACATTTCCTATAAATGTAAATACCAAATTTTCAACAGCCCTAATAAATAGTATTAGTATTTGTAATATCACAGTGCCTATGTGACACAGGAATGAAGAATGACCCCATTGCATTAAGTGCTGTACAGACAAAAGAAAGAAAGACATTCCCTGCCCAGAGTTTGATAACTTTTGGAACATCTCTGCCCTATAGTCAGTTGAGAGATGGGTGTGTTAAATGTATTTATTATGTTTATAATCCTAACAAGATTACTTTTATCTCAGGATCATGGAAATATAGGTCTAGAAGGGACCTTGAGAGGTCTTCTTGTGTATCCCCCCACAGTGAGGCAGGACCAAATAAATCTAGACCATCCCTGATGGATGTTTGTCCAACCTGTTCTTAAAAACCTCCAGTGATGGGGATTCCACATCCTTCCTTGGAAACCTAATCCAGAGTTTACCTACCTTTTCACTTGGAAAGTTTATTTTCCCCCTTAAGGATAAATAATTGCTTGAGTTATCATACATTAGGAGATGTATTTTGAAGAATTGTCAAAGGCACCCAGAGCTAGGATGGACTGTGTTTAATTGGTATAGTTCAAATTTGAATGAATGAATGAAGCTGGAATATTCAAAGGAAGTAAGGCAGTTTGATACCCAGGGTGGGATTTTCAAAAACAACTAACTGGCTTAGGAGCACACATCTCCATTGACGTCAAATGATCCTTATACCGCATTTTAGGGTGTATAAGTAGGAGCATTGCCAGCAGATCAAGGGATGTGATCATTGCCCTCTATTCGGCATTGGTGAGGCCTCATCTGGAGTACTGTGTCCAGTTTTGGGCCCCATACTACAAGAAGGATGTGGAAAAATTGGAAAGAGTCCAACGGAGGGCAACACAAATGTTAGGGGGCTGGAGCACATGACTTATGAGGAGAGGCTGAGGGAACTGGAATTATTTGGTCTGCAGAAGAGAAGAATGGTGGGGGGGAGGATTTGTTAGCTGCTTTCAGCTCCCTGAAAGGGGCTTCCAAAGAAGATGGAGCTAGACTGTTTTCAGTGGTACCAGATGACAGAACAAGGAGTAATGATCTCAAGTTGCAGTGGGGGAGGTTTAAGTTGGATATTAGGAAAACTTTTTCACTAGGAGGGTGGTGAAGCACTGGAACGGGTTACATAGGGAGGTGGTAGAATCTCCTTCCTTAGAGGTTTTTAAGGTTAGGCTTGACAAAGCCGTGGCTGAGATGATTTAGTTGGGGATTGGTCCTGCTTTGAGTAGGGGGTTGGACTAAATGACCTCCTGAGGTCCCTTCCGAGCCCAATCTTCTGTGATTCTATGATTAAGCTTCTAAATCACTTAGGTGCTTTCAGAAATCACAACCACAAAGCCCATTGAATTTGTATGGGAGTTGAGTGCCTAACTGTCCTTCATCCCTTCGAAAATCTCCTCCCTACATACACACACATGCACAATTGCCTCATCCTTTTAGACCCTTTGGAAATTCCCTATCTAAATAAATAAATATAAAAGAACAAGACATGCTTACACTGGATATTAACTAATAGGAAGATGAATGTTCCTGGCAGGGATTTTCAAAGGAGACCATGGGAGTTAGGTGCCCGAATTCCACTGGCATTCAATGCAAGTTGGGCTTCCAAACTTCCCTAGACACCTTAGAAATTCCCAGCTCTAGTGACAGAGCAGTATCGTAGCCATTTGGACACCTGACTTCTATCCCCCCCCCCATTTCCAACCATCATGACCTTGGAGAAGCCACTTCCCCTCTCAGTGACTCAGTTTCCTTCTCTGTAAAATGGGTATCTTGATACTAATTTTTGAAAGCATATTGATATCCATGGATGGGATGTGCTATCTATATAAATGCTAACCATTTCAGGAGGATCTAAGTGGGTTGACAAAAAGGTGAGATGGTGGAAGAAGGGTGAGCAAAGGGGGTTACATGTGAATGAATGTCATGAGTGAGGTGGAAATTAGGGTGTGGGTACAGAAGGAAGATTGAATGGAGTATGGGGGGGAGGAAAGCTGAGTAGACACAAGCAACTGGCAAGAGAGCTCTGAAATTGGGATGAGACCTACAGGATTGGGTGGCTGGAAACATTCCTAATAGGTCTATAATATGAGGTAGATCTCACACTGCATTAGAATAACATAGTGGACTTGTTGCCCCAGATTTGAGGGGTGCGTGTACTCCAGAATTTGATGAAGCCAATTGCAACCATATTATGTGCATTCGGGCATCATGAATTAAAAAAAAATAGAACACTACATAGTTAAGGGTTAATTTGAACAAGCAGGGCTTCTGGAGGCAAGGTCAAATGCTAGTTGTAGGTTTGCAGCTTCTGCCTTTAATATAGAAGTTTATTATGACTAAGTTTGTTAGGAAAGTTGATTGACAACTAGTTTATTTATATTGGGAGAAGGGATGACACAGTAGGGGTCACTATGATCCATGTGTTTTGTAAAAGTTAGTTACAAAAAGGACTAGATAATAGAGTTTACTTTGGGGAAATTCTCTGCAGCTATCCAGAGAGATGTTTTTCGTGACACCATACTCCCCAGCGGGGAAGCAACTGGCCATTACCACCCTGCTGGAAAGTACTCAATACCATCTCAGATTCTAGGTAATGCTTTGGGATGTTCTAAACCTATTGCTTATGTCTGGATGTGCTTAAATCTAATAAATTGTCATTTTAGTTAAAAGCACTGCTTATTTGTATCAATCATTTATCAGATGAAAATTGATGTGTTCCCATTGATTTCATCCTGACAATGCCTGGAGTGAAACAGTTAAGTTACCACTGCTTTGGGTTCTGAAAACCCTGGGTAACAAATCTGCGATACCTATCTATCTATTGGCTGAGAATCAGGGACTTGAATGCTTACCTTGCAGGTAGCAGATACTTTTCTCTTCACTGTTATCTTTCAACTTCCCATTCTCGAATTTGCTTCCCAAGTCTTTGGTGCACACAAATGCCCCCAGGCCAGGAAAGCCAGACTCATGAGGGGTGAATTCAAACCAGGTGCCTGTGAAACATAGATAGGGTTTATAAAAAGGCCCTTTCAAGTGCCAGTCTTGTTGTCCCCTTCTTGGATGATTGCAATAATTTCTCAATTCCCTGACCATTCTGTTTGCTCTAGCAGGAAATCCTACCTCTCTTTTCACTCTGTTCACCCCATGATCATTTTCAAGTCATTTTCTATGGTGACCTTCTCCATCTGGTGTTTCCTCCTTAGGCCAGCATGTGCTGTCCTTGGATATCCCAGAAGCCTTAGGGGCTACCACAGCCTCTCTCCACCCTCCCTCCAACCACCTATCTCTAACTCTGACCCAAAAGTATAAAGAAAAAAATACTCAAAATGAGTCAAATCTAAAAGTGATATATTTAACTGTAGAGCTAATCAAAAAATAGAAACATCAATTTCATAGTTTCTGAAGTTTTCCAAGTTCTTTTCATTTCTGAAACTGTTCCTCATTGGGCAATTTATCACAAACTTACAAAGTCACTATTGAAACAATTATGGGAATTTTTCATTTACTGAAAAACCAGGTTTGTTGTTGTTGTTGTTGTTGTTTTAAATGAGGAACATCAATAACCATTTTGGTAAAGAGGTTTATGCAAAAAAAAAACATTTTCTTAAAAGGCTATTTTTAGACTAAAAAAATACATTGTTAGATTGCATTCAACTCTATTAAATAATGACTCCACCTAGTAGTGTTTACAGTAGCAGAAAGGGCAAGAGGCAACATCAATATTTATTTTTTCCATAGAGTACTTGACATTTCAGATGTGGTTTCTCTCATTAATATCACCAGTGTGTTATTGTTTTACCTGGGCTGTTTTCATGTGCTTTATGCAATATCTTTGCTTCCACTGCCGCATAGATGGGGTAAGGATTTGTCCCACTTGTGGAGGCATCGTCTTGTTGAGATAACTTGGTCTGATCATACTGGAAAGTTAAGAATTGATGAGCACAGAAATACACACGTTTTGGTGATGTTCCCTGTAATTCTGTTCCTGTCTAATTAGTTCAGGCTAGGAATTAGAAAGACCCTTTTTGCTGAGACCATCATCATCTTCGCCATTGTTCCCTCATTCTAGTGCTTTTTTTCTGTACCTCGTGGAAACAACCTACACCCCCATGTTCATCCTTATAATATGATTGTGTGGTATCTAATGCAAAGTTTGTCATGTCGGGTGTCTTTGGAAGGCTCATGATGCACTGAGCATTGTTGTCATAGTGATGTTATAGTAATTGTTGTTACAGTAACGTTATAGTAATGTTATAATTTATAATTGCATGTATATAGTTATGAGGCTGAAAATGTGTCTTCATGGCTTAAAATAAGCCCAGTCAAAAACTCTCCAAGAGCAGGGAGGCAGTTCACACCTCATCAGGGCAGGTATGGGACAAACCCAGCCCAGCCTCACAGGAACAAAGGACGATGGCCTAGGCAGCAACAAAAGGATCTGTTGGACTCTCAAGTGAGTTACCCCCCTTCCTTTGGTCAATTTGGGTGTGTGATGAATCACAGAATCATAGAAGATTAGGTTTGGAAGAGACCTCAGGAGGTCATCCAGTCCAACCCCCTGCTCAAAGCAGGACCAACACCAACTAAATCATCCAGGTAATGCTCACCTGGCTCTGAAGGTGGGGCAAAGCCAAGAGGAAAGAAAGAACATGATAAAAGTGATAGACGTTTGCCATGCTCTTCCTCTCTCTTCCACCTACATCTACAGACACCACCACCACCAAGCAATTGAAGTGCTGATCAAGGGGAGAGCCTGGCTGAAGGGCAATCAGCCAGCCTGTGGTGAGAAGCATATATGTTTGTAAGGGCATTGAAAGTGTTAAGATCAGCTTAGTATCAGGGGATAGCCGTATTAGTCTGTACCCACAAAACCAATGAGGAGTCCGGTGGCACCTTAAAACTAACAGATTTATTTGGGCATAAGCTTTCATGGGTAAAAAAAAAAAACTTCTTCAGGGTTTACCCACAAAAGCTTATGCCCAAATAAATCTGTTAGTCTTTAAGATCATCTTAGAATGTGTTTTTCTTTTATTTCATTTGATCAAATCTGACATGTGCTTTGACTTAAAATCATCACTTTAAATCTATCTTTGTAGTTAGTAAATCTATTTGTTTATTTTACCTGAAGCAGTGTGTTTGGTCTGAAGTGTGTCAGAGACTCCCCTTGGGATAAGAAGCCTGGTACATATCAATTTCTTTGATAAATTGACAAACTCATATAAGCTTGCAGTGTCCAACTGAGGTTCCTAGGGTTGTCTCTGGGACTGGAGATACTGGCTAGTGTCATTCGGTGGCAGAATCCAAGGAGCAGCTTACATCCCAGAGGCTGTGCGTGAACAGCCCGGGAGTGGGGGTTCTCACAGATGAGCAGGGGTAAGGCTGCCTCCCAGAGTCAAGGATTGGGGTGACCTAGCAGATCACCGGTCCAGATAACACCAGAGGGGAACGTCACAGCATTGTATGGACAAACAACAGGGTATTTACAGTCCATGGTGGTGACTTTCAAATAGACCTAAGGGAATTCGGCTCAGATTTAAAAAAATATTTAGGCACCTAAAGATGCAATTAGGCACGTAGTGGACTTTTCAAAAGCACCTTAGCAAGTAAATGCCTTGGGATATGTCTATCCTGGAGAAGGAAGGTCTGATTACCAGGTGGAGACACACCAGCACTAACATGATAAAAATATCAGTGTAGCTGAAGCAGCAGAAGCAGAGGGAGGGGCTAACCACCTTGAGAATGTATCTAAGTTCTAAATCACAGCTCAAATGGGTATGTTTCCTTGAACTGGGAATTAAGTTTCCAGCTCCAGTGTAAACATAGCCTGAGTTTCATCAAAATGAATAGGAATTAGGGAGCAGTAATGTCAGACAAAATGTTTTTCAGAGCATTGAAATTATTTGTGAATTCAGGTCAAATTTGTTGAATTCTTCCATCTGAGAAAAAATGGTAAAAAAGTTTAAATGCTTTATTTTGGCTGTTTTGAAATTAAACGGTTTAAAGTTTTCTTTTGAAATGGTATTTCACTTGAAAAATTAGGTAAATTGAAAATAAAAGTGTATAAAAAAACCCCTCTGTCAAGGCTGATTCCCCACTCTGGCACTTTGAGTGTAGAAGGTGGGGGCCCGCAAGGACTCTAAAAATTAATACTGGCCACCCTAGGCTTGTATTAAAGTTACAGCTTTTCGCTGACCTTGGATTGGTAGATGCTGCCACCACCCAAGTGCAAAACCCTTTTGAGAGCCCAGGAAGGTGCACATGGGAATTCCTTCCTGTTGGGTACCCTCAAGCGCTTTCATAACCAACCTCTGGGGAAAAGCTGAGAATGGAAAAGAAAAAAAAAAGAGAGATCAGCTGTTGCCACCAGCTAACTAAAAAACATATGCACAAACCTCTTAACACACAGAAATCTATCCTGTTCTTAAAAAATGTAAATTTTATGAAAGAAAGAAAGAAAGAAAGAAAGAAAGAAAGAAAGAAAGAATACATCTGGAAACTTAGGCTATTTCTAGGTTTTAAAAGAGCAATTACAAGGATTAAGCACCAAGAATAGCTTTCTTGAGGTCCAGTTTAAAGGTTACAAGCAAAACAAAAGCACATGGGGTTAGCACAGAGGAATCCACAAGCCATAAAGAAATAAAAAGAGATAAACCTAATCACATCTTCCTAGATGATTTTTCATACCTGTCCCCAAGCTTCTTACAGCATAGTTGCTGCCCTGTCCGCCTCTGCCCCCGAGAGAACAACAACAGACAGACAAAGGGGGATTTTTTTTCTCAATTTTAAAAAGTTCTAGCCTTCCCTTGGCTCTTTTGGCCAGCTGCCCACTTACTTCCTTTTACCTATGCATCACAGTGAGACTTTTTAACCCTTTACAGGTAAAGCAAGTAGAGAACAACTACCAAGAGAGATTTTATAGCTAACTGGCTGGCTGGGTGTCCATAAAAGGAAGCTATCCTCTGCCCTTCATTTATCATACCCTCCAACAATGACCAGAAACCAACCAAAAAACAAACAAACAAACAAACTAAATTTGGGGTTGAATAATCTTTTAGAAAACCATCCAATGCTGATTTAAAATTGTCAGTGATGGAGAATCCACCACAATCCTTGGTAAGTTGTTTCAATAGTTATTATTCCCATTATCTAAAATCTAGACAGTTTTTCTCCAGTCAGAATCTCTCTAGTTTCAACTTCCAGCCATTGATTTGTATTAGACATTTTCTCTGCTAGATTGAAGAGCCTATTAAAAAAAATCAAGACTGTGATTGAGACTTTCATGCCTTCTAGCTCTCTTCATATTTTGGAAAGTCAAGGATTTTGGGATCATATGCTAGGGTGAGATTTTCAAAACCACCTAAAGGATTTAGAGGCCAAACTCCCACTAGTTTTAATGGGAAATGGGTATCCAAATCCCTTATACAGCCTTGAAGTCCTCTCTTTAGAAATGCTCAGATACCTCAGTGATCTCTGAGAGCTCATGGGAAGAGGCTGACATTTACAAAGTTACCCGTGGGTTCAAATAGCTTTGAAAATATTGTCAGGAGTTATTATTATAGTTCTTCTATTTTGCTCCTGTATCCAAGTACTGTTGAGAAAGGGGGGCAGGGGGGAAATACATTAAGTAAATGCATTGACTTTTCAGTGGAACCACTCTGGATTTACGTAGCAACCCACCTGATTCAATATTTTGTAGACAACGAAAGAGGCCCAGACATCAGTGAGAGAGAAGAGTTCATCTTTAGCTGCCTGGCACACAATAGAGTACGCCTTATGAAGATCCCATGAAGATTTGGAAAGTGTATCACACAGGCGTTCTTCCAAGTCCTGTACTTTCTCTGTCCAGTCCTTGTCTTTGTAGAGGGTAGACATTCACCTTTTAATGAACCAGAAGGGATATGGCTGAGACTAAGGGAATAGGATGGGGAATTCCCCTCCCCCTTTTAATCTTTATACCTTTTATTTTTCATACAGGGAATTCTAATTATCATCCTGGCATTGTAACAAATATGTGACTTAACAAGGACTTTATTCACGGCTGTCTGTCATCATGGCCGCTGGGAAATGTATGGCAATAACAGGGATAGAGCTAAGATCCTCTGCTGAATGCCAAGGCCCCTATGATGTATGAATAAGCCATTGTGACTCTATCCAACAGAGGGCAGTGGTGAGCACACTACTCAGGCCATTCTGAGTGTGACCCAGAGCCCAGAGCTCTTCTTGAGCTACTGGGGAAAATACATTGGAGTTCAGGGTGTATGACATGGGGAGGAGAAATTTTGATCCCTCCCAGCAGAAGGGAGTGGTCACACACACACACACACACACACACACACACACACACACACACACCATTTCAATAGGCCACCTTTGATCACCCTTCTCATTTTCTGCCACTGTAGTTCACTTCAATGGGGTGACTATCAGAGTAAAGTTCTACTCAGCAAGCACGAGAGAGAGAGAGAGGTTTCTGAAGATTTTCCTTTCCCCATCTCTTTCTTCGTTGACAAGTCCACTCTTTTTGCTTCCTTCCAAGCCTCAATACTGGGGACCTGTTTGACTCTTCCCCCTCCTTCCCTCTGTGTATTCTAAATCTCTTGGTAAACCCCAGTGAATCCCCAAACCCTTAACCATCCCCACACATTGCCCTTTTCTCACTGTCCTCACTACCGGAACCCTATCCTCTGTCACCTTGGTTTTTATAAACATCACTTCTCTGGTCTCCACTGATCCTCACTTCTACAGCTCTTCAGTCTGCCAAGAATGCCTCTATGTCTTCTAATCATGTCACCCACCACCTTGTATCCCCAACATCAGCTCTCCATGCCCGTCTACATAGGCAATGACTTCCCCTCTGCCCGGTGGGTGCTCAACTCCCCCCCACCCCTGCCCCCGCCCCACCTCGCCTCTTCCCACCCCTGCACCGCCCTCTCTCCACCCCTATTCCACCCCCTTCCCCCAAGTCCCTGCCCTGCTTCTTCCCACTTCTGCACCACCCTCGCCCCACCCCCATTCCACCCCTTCCCCCAAGTCCCCGCCCCTGCCCTGCCTCTTCTCCACCTCCTCCCCTGAGCGAGCCAGGTCACCACTCCTCCCCCTCCCTCCTGGAAAGTCCTAAGAGCCGCCAAACAGCTGTTAGGTGGAGGGAGGGCGGAAATCACTGGGAGGGAGGGGGAGGATTGGGGATACAGCACACTGGCGAGGAGAAGGAGGTGAGGAGGGGGGAGTTTGGCTGTTGGTGGGTGCGGAGCACCCGCTAATATTTCCCAGCCCCAGAGTACCCACAGAGTTGTCGCCTATGCCTGGCTAGGAGGCAGCTGTCCAGTGGGTAGGACGCTGGGTTAAAGCTCAAGAGTTCCATGATCTAGTCCCAGCTCTGCTGAGTGACCTTACACAAGTCACACAGCTCTGTTTCACTTTGCATGCTTTTCCAGACTTCTCTGCTTAAAAGTGGGATTTCCAAAAGTGACTTAGGAATGCAAGTCAAAGGGTCAGTCACAGGGTATGTCTGCCCTGCAATCAGAGGTGTGACCGCAGCATGAGTAGACACACCTGTGCTAGTTTTGATCAAGCTAGCATGAGTGCCAATTGCAGTGAAGCTGAAGAAGCATGGATCTCTGTGAGGGCTTGCTGAGGTTCCTCGGCAGCCTTGTACAGCCCATGCTGTAGCCCCAGAGCTTCACTGCTATTGGTGCCTGAGCTAGCAAGGTTAAAGCTAGCTCAGGTATGTTTATGCATGCTACATCACACCCCCTGTTTTCAGTGTAGACATACCCTTAGGTGCTTTTGAAAATCTCACCCATAATGCATTGAAAATTTACAGAGATAAATAATAATAAGAATGCCCCAGTGGCCACCAACTCTGTGCAGGAAAACTGGCTCATTCTCACTTCTGCTGACATGCACCTACCAGGTGGAACCCGATACCCCACACAGATACAGGACAGTGTCCAACAGGCCCTGCTTCTTCATCTCCACCAAGGATCCTTGAAGGGCTATCATGGCCCGTAGACCTCCGCCTGATCCTAGGACAGCGATATTGGGCATGTCATCCTTTGTATCCTGGGTGAGGGAAAAGAGGCAATGACAAATGAACTATAAATGCTGAGGCATCTCTGCTATTCAGCTCTTGGTACATATCCTTTCAAGAAATTCACACAGAACCTCAAGTTCCAAGACTTGTTTGCCTTATGTTAGGAAGCATTCCTTATCAGGTGCCCAATGACCTTTGTCCCATGATGACTCAAGAGCAAATCCATTTTATCCCGCATATTCAACCATAATCACACATTGGTAGCCCCGTATCTCTTAGGGCCCTTTGAAACTCATAAGAATATAAAAACGGCCATACTGGGTCAGACCAAAAGTCCATCTAGCCCAGTATCCTGTCATCCAACAGTGGCCAGTGTCAGGTGCCCAAGAGGGAATGAAAAGAAGAGGTAATCATCAAGTCATCCATACCCTGTGTGAAAGTAGAATGAATTATATTGTAAAAATAGAATGGATTAAAGAAATGCTGTATTTTCCTTTAAGCAGGAATAAGGAATGTTGAAATATAGTTGTCAGGAAGAGAAACATTAAGGTATGAAACAATGGGTCCACTTAAGCTAATGGTGGGACATTAACAGGAGATCAGTAATAGTTAGTAAGGAAATAAGATATGTATGTCTAGCCCCAGGTAAACTTATCAGTTCTGCTTCCTTTTGTTATCTTGTTAAGTTCGTGCCCTTTTATCTGTATAAATAAGATAGTTTGAGTCTTTCATGGTGCTCACATTATCTGGGTGTATTAGCAGAGCGCTTTGCTAATAAACAGAGTGGTCTGACAAATTGTGAGTCCTGAATCTGACTCTGACACCTGTCGCCCATTCCTAGCTTCTGAAAACAGAGGCTACGGACACCATTGCTGCCCATCCTGGCTGATAGTCAATGATGGACTTATCCTCCATAAATTCATTTAGTTCTTTTTTGAATCCTGTTATAGTTTTGGCCTTCACAACATCCTCTGGCAAAGAGTTCCACAGGTTTCACAGTGCATTGTGTGACGAAATACTTCCTTTTGTTTGTTTTAAACCTTCTGCCTATTAATTTCATTTTATGACCCCTAGTTCTTGTGTTATCAGAAGAAGTAAATAACAATTCCTTATTTACTTTCTCCACACCAGTCATGATTTTCTAGACCTCTATCATGTCCCCCCTTAGTCGTCTCTTTTCCAAGCTGGAAGTCACAATCTTATGAATCTTTCCTCATACTAAAGCTATTCCATACCCCTATATCATGTTTGTTGCTCTTTTCTGAACCTTTTCCTTTGTGTTTAATGTCTTATGCACCAACCAACAGACCGGGACCAGAATTTTCAAAGGGATGCAGATAAGTGCCTAGAAGGCATTTCAAAAGCAACTAAGCAATTTAGTACCTAACTTTACTGTCCTTCATGTTGATGTCCCTTGCTCTCAATAATTAATGGGAGTGAGTTTTGGTTTGTTTGTTTGTTTGTTTGTTTGTTTGTTTGTTTGTTTTTTTGTTTAGACAAACTTGTAATATAGGACTGGTTTTTTTTTTCATTTTGAAGCACTTGGAGGAGAGGAAGGTGATCAGGAATAGTCAACATGGATTCACCAAGGGCAAGTCATGCCTGACCAACCTGATTGCCTTCTATGATGAGATAACTGGCTCTGTGGATATGGGGAAAGTGGTGGATGTGATATATCTTGACTTTAGCAAAGCTTTTGATATGGTCTCCCACAGTATTCTTGCCAGTAAGCTAAAAAAGTATGGATTGGATGAATAGACTATAAGGTGGATAGAAAGCTGGCTAGGTTGTCGGGCTCAACAGGTAGTGATCAATGGCTCGATGTCTAGTTGGCAGCCGGTATCAAGGGGAGTGCCCCAGGGGTCGGCCCTAGGGCTTGTTTTCTTCAACATCTTTATTAATGATCTGAATGATGGGATGGATTGCACCCTCAGCAAGTTCACAGATGACACTAAGCTGGGAGGGGGGGAGGTAGATACGCTGGAGGGTACGGATAGGGTCCAGAGTGATCTAGACAAATTGGAGGACTGGGCCAAAAGAAATCTGATGACGTTCAACAAGGACAAGTGCAGAGTTCTGCACTTAGGAAGGAAGAATCCCATGCACAACTACAGGCTGGGGACCAACTGGCTAAGCGGCAGTTCTGCAGAAAGGGACCTGGGGATTACAGTGGATGAGAAGCTGGGTATGAGTCAGCAGTGTGCCCTTGTTGCCAAGAAGGCTAATGGCATATTGGGCTTTATTAGTAGGAGCATTGCAGTTCTGCAGAAAAGCATAAAGGTGATTTGATTGTGTTACCTAGTGACAGTTTGAAAACTTGTAGCAAGAAGGAAAAAAATCCTAAACTTGTGTGTGGTAAAGGGAAGGAGAATGCCTTTGACCTTTTGATTATGAAATCTGTCAGTTTGCCTAAAAGGGAATTGTGTAGAAATCCGCCTGATGAGCCAAAGGTGATCCTGGAGGTAAGTGAGACCCAGAAAGAGCCTGTTGTTGATCAGGAAAATGTTCCTTTAGAACAAGCTGTAAGTGAAGAGGATAAGGGCAGAATTTCTGTGAGGGGTGAATTGTTGCTTAGAGAAGCTCCTAGGTAAAGGAATCCTCATGGTAATTTGTGCAAGCAATTTGCTGCAACTGAAGGGTGTGGAAGTAATTTAATCAAGAAAGTTTCAGTTCCTAACAGCCAGAAATTTTCTGTTGTGAATGGATCCACTAACTTTCCTTTTGAAAGATCCAGTGTGGATTGCTTAGAAAAGGTCTCAGATGAAATGAAAAGTGTCAGGGAATTTAAACAGCCCTGTGACCAAGTGGCTGTGTTTGGCCAGCTTGTTGGGAAGACAATGGTGTTGGAACAGGAATGTCTCCATGCTAATTCTTTAAGTGAGCAGTCTGTGCTTTTTACATCTGAATGCTTAAGGATGCAGGGGAGAACAAGGAAACTGTCATCCTCAGACTCTTTGGATTTGTGTGGTATCTCTTTAAGACAGAGTCCAGCCTTGGAATTGGTAGCAGTTAAGGATCTGAAAACTGTTGAACAGGCTCCTGTCTGTGTTGATGCAAATCACCTCACTAACAGGGAGAAGAAAGACTTGCTAATAGCTGTTAGCAAAGAGAGCACACCCAATCAGCCAGTGAATTCTGTTAAGCAAGAGAAATGAGGGTTTGATCCTTCAGGACAAGGAGGAAAAAGTTAATTTACCTTTGCAAAGAGAAGCCACAGGGTAACCCTAAAATGCCAAAACACCAATGGTATTGGGCCAGAGGTGTGGCATGACAAAAATAGTTATATATAGGCACTTGTAATGAATTTGTTGTTATTGCTAATGGAATAGGCGCCAACTTTTCCCGGCGCTGGTAGGAACTCACTCCTCCCCTGCCCCACCCCAACTCCATCCTTTCCCCGCCCCTTCCCCTGCCCCTGCCCCTGCCCCAACCCCATTCCAACCCCTTCCCCAAAGTCCCCTTCCCAACACCGCCCCTCCCTGCCCCTATTGGACCCCTTCCCCAAATTCCAGCCCCAGCCCCGCCTCTTCCCCAAGCGCGCCACGTTCCCCCTCCTCTCCCCTCCCTCCCAGCCACGCAAAACAGCTGTTTTGCGGCAGGAAGTTCTGGGAGCTAGGGGGGGAAAGTGGGCACGTGGCGCGCTCAGGGGAGGAGGCAGAGGTGAGCTGGGTGGGGAGGCGGGGAGCTGCCGGTGGGTGCAGAGCCTACGGCTAATGGTGATTTTTGTAACTAATGTGTTGCTATTACCAAGAACTGTAAAAATATACAATGTGCCTTATGCTTTGGAAAATCCCTTGAACATGTTAAGAGTAATACATAAGAACACACTTTATGTTAAAAGGCCTTATACTAATGTTTCACAATTAGTGCTTGTAAACAGTCTTGGAACTTTTCACAGGAGAAAAGACATTCCAAAGCAAATGTGCTGTATGGGAAAAGGGAAACTGAGGCACACTATCACCTGCTTTCAGTGCTAAATGCCAAGATTCCTATACTATGGACAACATTAATATCTACAGTAACTTGATGTTAACTTGGTGTTCACACCTCAACTGCTAGAAGAGGGCCTCATCTTCCCTGATTGAACTAACTTCATTATCTCTAGACTGATTCTTGCCTGCATATTTATACCTGCCTCTGGAAATTTCCACTACATGCATCTGACAAAGAGGGTATTCACCCATGAAAGCTTATGCTCCAATACGTCTGTTAGTCTATAAGGCACCACAGAACTCTTTGTCACTTTTTACAGATCCAGACTAACACGGCTACCCCTCTGATACTTGATGTTAATTGGGTTCCAAACATTTGCCAGAGCTTGTTTGGATAAAGTATCTATGTTCTTTAGCTCTTGGCAAGATCACATGAGACATACAGGAACCATGCTGCAAGAGCAGATCCAATCTACTATTCATAGAATCATAGATTTTCAGGATTGGAAGGGACCTCAGGAGGTCATCTAGTGAAACCCCCTGCTCAAAGCAGGACCAACACCAACTAATACATCCCAGTCAGTGCTTTGTCAAGCCTGACCTTAAAAACCTCTAAGGACGGAGATTCCACCACTTCCCTAGGTAACCCATTCCAGTGCTTCACCACCCTCCTAGAGAAAAAGTTTTTTCCTAATATCCAATTTAAACCTCCCCCACTGCAACTTAAGACCATTACTCCTTGTTCTGTCATCTGGTACCACTGAGAACAGTCTAGATCCATCCTCTTTGGAACCCCCTTTCAGGTAGTTGAAAGCACCTAACAAATCCCCTCCTCGTTCTTCTCTTCTGCAGACTAAATAATCCCAGGTCCCTCAGCCTCTCCTCAGAAGTCATGTGCTCCAGTCCCCTCATCATTTTTGTTGCCCTCTGCTGGACTCTTTCCAATTTTCCCACATCCTTCTTGTAGTGTGGGGCCCAAAACTGGACACAGTACTCCAAATGAGGCCTCACCAATGTCGAATCAAGGGGAACGATCACGTTCCTCGATCTGCTGGCAATGCCCCTACTTATACAGCCCAAAATGCCATTAGCCTTCTTGGCAACAAGAGCACACTGTTGACTCATATCCAGTGTCTTGTCCACTGTAACCCCTAGGTCCTTTTCTGCAGAACTGCTGCCTAGCCACTCGGTCCCTAGTCTGTAGCAGTGCATGGGTTTCTTCCGTCCTATGTGCAGGACTCTGCACTTGTCCTTGTTGTATCTCATCAGATTTCTTTTGGACCAATCCTCTAATTTGTCTAGGTCCCTCTGTATCTTATCCCTATCCTTCAGCGATCTACCAATCCTCCCAGTTTAGTGTCATCTGCAAACTTGCAGAGGGTGCAATCCACACCATCCTCCAGACCATTAATGATTAATTAATGGTTATTATTAATAGTTAACATTAATTAATAATTGTTGGTTAATTAATGAATGATTAATTACTGGTTAATTAATTTATTATTAATATTTTTCTAACCAAGTTTTACCTTGAGTTTGTAAAGAGATTCAATCATGTTATTGAACCTGACTTGAATAAACCATTTCTGTTATACACCAATACTAGCTGTAGTAAGAGAGAACCAAGGATGGGGAGCTCTTGGGATGCAGTCAGCGATGTTTGTGTCATCCCTTCCTGCGTCAATTTTGCATTGGGGGTGTGACATTATTGACATAAACTGCAACCACTATTATATATTTGCAACAAATATTATACAAAGGTTGTCGTGTGAGGTGTCTATGAGGGGGTTATGATTTGCTGGTTATGACTGTGCTGTCTGTATGCATGTATCATTTTTGTTTTTAGAGTTATAAGTATTGGCTCTATATTATCTGTATTTCAAACTTGTGCTATGCTTCTGGGTGACACCCCAGACAATGTGGTCTCAGCACTGCCTAGCCTGCTTGATGGCCCATTAGGGACCATCAGCTATACAATTGACCCATTGAGAGAAGGCAGATCACCTTGTGACTCAGCAAGGCATGCAGGGACATGCCTATTGACCGAACTCTAAGGTTTTTCCATGCCATGTGCTGGGTGACTTGTGGTTGGAACAAAGGAAGCACAAGCCACATGGCAAAAGGACTATAAAAGGCAGCAGCAGCATCTCCATTTTGTCTTCAATCCTGTTTCTGACCTCTGGAGAAACTTTGCTATAAACTAAAGCTCTGAACAAAGGACTGAATGACCCATCCAAGCTGTGGATGTACTCCAGAGACTTGATTTAAGCCTGCAGTTTATTCCATCACTGCTACAAGCCTGAACCAAGAACTTTGCCATTACTGTATGTAATTGATTCCATTTAACCAATTCTAGCTCTCATCTATATCTTTTTCCTTTTATGAATAAACCTTTAGATTTTAGATTCTAAAGGACTGGCAACAGCGTGATTTGTGGGTAAGATCTGATTTGTACATTGACTTGGGTCTGGGGCTTGGTCCTTCGGGATCAAGAGAACCTTTTTTCTTTTACTGAGGTACTGATTTTCATAACCATTTATACCCACAACGAGTGGCGCTGGTGGTGATACTGGGAAACTGGAGTGTCTAAGGGAATTGCTTGTATGACTTATGGTTAGCCAGTGGGGTGAGACCGAAGTCTTCTCTGTTTGGCAGGTTTGGTGTGCCTTAATAATAAAGGAAACCCAGCCTTGAGCTGTAATTGCCCTGCTCTAAGCAATTTGTCCTGAATTGAAACTCTCAGTTGTGTCCTGTCAGAGGCAGCATCGTTACAAATGGTTACTGAACCCTGAGCACCAAAAAAAACCCAGGTCACTCTCCCTTCAGATGAAGGAAGAATACTGTGAAGAAGAAGCAGTGAAAGACTGTTAGGCTGAGATTTGCAAAGCCATCAGAGGGCAGATGTTCCCAAATATGTCAGGTCCACAGGAGTTTGCATCCCCCCAAGGAGCACCACTTTTCAATGATGGGTAACAATCCTGGGATGTTCCTCAAATTTCTCCACCATGCCAGCTAACAAAGTAACCACGGGGGGTGGGCAGCAGTAGTTGGCTTGTACCCTCTGTAAGGTTCAACCAGCAGAGGGGGCTGTGATACATGTAGAAAGTATGTTACATAGTCACTATTCATTACTAATATTAGTAATAAGTCAGACAAGTATTAGTAGCTCAACCAACTCTGTCCCTCTAATGCTGTCTATGCACTACAGTGACGGCTCTAATCTCCCCTTCCCATCTGTTCTCTGCTGCAGGCTCTGTCTGGCCTCAAAATCACAGTGGTATATACACACACACTGCAAAGAGGCTTTAGGAAGCACTGACTGAATTAGGAAGCACTGACTGAATTCACGTGAGTATGCAGCTCTCCAGAGGTTAGCCTCAGCAAGCCCCTTACTGCTGCTAAAGGGGTAGGGGCTTGTGCTTTTAGCACTGAAGGCCCCCAAGTTTGAGCCTGCCAAAGGACATAAGGTTTGTATGTCTGTGGCCATGGGTTGCCTCCCTGGTGCTTTGGGAATGTTGTATTTCAAGGGGAACATCTCCATAGAGCAGGATTTTGGAGGCATTTCCTCCCACTGTACCAGGGACCTCAATCACCATCCACATGACTAACATCCTATATTGTTCTCCTTAGTGCTATGAGGCACAATGGGCCCCTACCTCATCACGGGCAATGCCAAGGCTCTTGAGGCACTCCAGAACTTTTGCCTTTCTGTTCTCAGTGGCTTCTTTCTCACCCTTCGAGAGCTCATGGGAAAGTCGGATAGTTCTATCATCCTGCCAAAAATAAAATACAATAAAATATCTCATCTCTCCAAAGGCTGCCATAGAGTGGAGACATGGGGCCTGTGCACAAATAACACTGGTCCCTGGAGTTTTCCCAGGATTTACTCTTTACATTTGTATTATGACTGTACCTGGAAACCTCAGCCAAGGTTACAGGTGGAGGTGGGCAAATGACTGATTTTTCGCTTCACTGAAGTTCTGAGAAATTGGGAAATAAAGTTGGTTCAAAAATTGTGAAAGTTTTGTCAAATTGAAAGAAATCTACTCTGGGTCGAACAAAACAAGTTTCTGTAGGACAAATAATTTACCTTTCTCCATTGAAATCTTTTCATAGCTTCTCCCAGATTTCCCCGTAGAGCTCCTGGTGATGTGGAATTCTTTCTTCAGTGGCAAACGTACTCTTCAGGGAACGTCTTGATGGGAGAACCAAGTCAACCTCTAACTGTTGTTTTCTTCTTTCTGTGGCTGTTTCAGAGAAAAGGAACATTTAGTATCATCCCATAGGGATGTCGAGTGGAATTTCCAAAGAGTCTAAGGGAGTTAGGAGTTGAAATCCTGTCTCCACCTGGAAATGTAAAAGAAAATAAGCTAACATGGAGTGTGGTTGGTTTAGAAGTTCCACTTTCCAAATACAAATAATATAGAAAAAATGGGTGGTGGTGATGAGGTTCAGATTTAAAACAAAAAACAAACAAAAAAAACCCCCCACAGACCCTAGTAATAACATTTCTCTCCTGCTACAACAGAAATTGATGATGGTTCATGTTCCCAAGCCTGCCTTTCTTATAAAGTGTATATATGGGGGAGAGGGAGGGAGAGGGTTGTGTGGAGATAGCCAGATAGACATTTCTGATCTTGGTGTGTCACTGTGAGCACAGGAAACAGCAAATCCCTGTTAGAAACCTTTAGGTGAGAGAAAGAGCTGAGAAAATAGACACAGCCCCCACTCCCCATTTGGGGCCCTGTTTATTCTGGTTCCATTCAGCCCAAGTGCCAGGGTGTCAACCTGACTTTTAATTTTAAAGTTACTTCCCTGTGAAAATTTGGCAGAGGGCATTGTAACTGGTAGACAGACAGCAGTCAATTTGTATGGAAATCAATTTAGGGCCCTTGCAGGCTCTGGGAAGCACTCTAGGAAGTTAAGGGGACAAACCTCATTGGAATTCCCTC